CATTAATTAATTCTGCTACCATTTGCTTAATGCTATCATTAAGCAAATGGTAGCAGAGTTACTTATTTTCTCTAAGAATTGCGGGTGCTATCTATTTGATGACATGAAAATGGGATATGAAGAATAAACTGTGTTCAAGCAGACTATAGTGGCAACATCCTTTTCTAAAAATCTGTTTCTATGCTGTACCACTCTCTATACAAAATGACATGAAACAGTTCACAGACCTTGCTATTTATATTTGGCAAAATATACATTGGTAACACACCGGCGTGTATATATATATTTCATGTATGCCTATTCACAATAGATACATTTTCATCATGAAACGGTGCCCAGCGACAGGACAAGGGGCAACGGGTACAAACTGAAGCAGAGGAAGTTCCAGCTGAACATGAGGAAGAACTTCTTCCCTCTGAGGGTGACGGAGCCCTGGAACAGGCTGCCCAGGGAGGTTGTGGAGTCTCCTTCTCTGGAGATATTGAAGACCCTCCTGGACAAGGTCCTGTGCAGCCTGGTGTAGGTGACCCTGCTTCGGCAGGAGGGTTGGACTAGATGACCCACAGAGGTCCCTTCCAACCCCTACTGTTCTGTGATTCTGTGATTCTATGAATTCTAACACCAACAAGATGACTAAACAAAATAAAATTAAAAAATTGGCATTATTAGAAATAAAATATAGTATGCTGTGACATAAAATAAGCCACTGTCTATACTGGGAATAAAGATGACGTCCTGTGGAATATAAGTGATTTATAGGGTTCTACCAATTGATTTTTATTATGATAATATTGTTTAATGGTGGTAGTCTAGTACTCCAAGTACAATGTTTTGGTGGCTGGAAAGCTAAGTAGTTGTAAGAACAAACTAATTTTGTTACCAGGACAGATGACTGCGTAACTTTACTGTCATCAATGTTGATCTGTGCTTCATTATGCTAAAATGCACAAGATACTTCTTGGTTCTCACTCCTTCAGCACTGAATGGGTGCCGGGTGTTTTTCAGGAGAGTTAGTAAGAGAAAACAGAAACTGTGATGGTGAGCGGAGGTCCTTTTCTCCTTCTGGTGGTACAGGCTAGACAGCTAGTATTAGCATTTAAGATAAAATTTTCAACAGTGCATAGGGTTATACTTTTAAGTGCCCAGCATCCACATCTGGGTCAGATTCTTCAAGATGCCAGGAGCCTATTAGGCAGATACACACGGATCAGATTTTCAAATGCGCTAATGTATTTTGACACTGTAGTTTCTTATGTTGGGTCTTAGCTGGGAACTCAACTGCTCTTAAAAACCTGGTCTGGGTTGTGACTCCCAAGCTCTTCTGCAACATTTGGCCTGAAGGCACAATTTAGTCCTCACTGATCAGGCAATTTCAAAAAACTGCTCACCTGCAGCTCCCTGCTTAGTATCACCTAATCGATACATGAAAGCATTTTCTAATACAAGAGAGACGAGCAGGTCATCTTTTATGTGTTGGAGCGTTCACGTGCGCGTGTGCGCACTCGTGTACACTTCAAACGTATTTTGTAAATTTTTCACCTTCCCTTACACAAGAGGAAGTAATTGGTACATGCATGTTTTGGAAACCATTCAAAGTTGATTTTCTGCGTGGGTAAACAAAGTGCTCATTGGTGCCAGCTTGCTTCGTTTGGGCGGTGTGAGGTGGAACGCAGGGCAGTTGCATCCTGCAGCTTCAGGGCACCTACTTGCTTCTGTGTAGAGAAGGTACCGAAGGACGGGAGGAACCCGTGATACTGACAGGATAAGGGCAACGCTCTCTGGACTTCGAGCATAAAGGCTGTATTAATTAACTATCGAATCAATGGAGATGTTTAGAACTAACCTGATAAATTCTATATTAAGCACTACGAGTTAAACCCAACTGTTGAAATCATGCCTGTGTAGACTTCAACATACAGAGGACTGAAATGTCTATACAACATTTGTGCTTTTATATATGTATTTAAACTTTTCAGATGCTACATGCACTCCATGTGCAGTGACAACCTACGAGGTCGCTACTCCTTGCATTTCTGGAAAGTCACAGAGGCTGCATAGCATTGGCCGACCCTGCACAGGGAACATTCGATAACGGCTGTCAGAGCATCTCCCTGAAACACGGCTCCTCCTCCCCACCTTTCAGAAACCAAAAGGCAGGATTACCTCAGATTGACTACTGCACAAGTAGGCTCTGTAGGCCTAAAGAAAAGTTAGCAGCTGGGGTGCTTCAATGCTCACAGTACTGAGATTTGTTGGCCAAAAAAAAGCTTGTGGTATTTATTTAAACAAAATACAATCAATATGAAGACAATCTACAATTTCTTTTTCCTGCTTCTATACATCGGCAGGGAAAAGTACTATAACACTGTACCATAAATCACTAACACAGATACAGAGCCATAAAACCATCTTTGTCTACTGCTTACAGCAGAGTCAATCTGGGAATCTTTCTAGACGGTGCAGATATGGCAAATATGTCTGAAATGCCTAAGATTTCTTATTATACTTCATCCATTCTCTCTACAGCTATAAACAGGCTAATACATTTTGAACCAGAAAAATAAATACTGCAAGTTTTGGAAGAAAGCAGATGTAGCAACAAAATATATTAAAATATGAATTGCTCACTGCTTGATTTTGTAATGGTATTTTATTTCTTTTTTTCAGATATAGCTGCATTTACATTAATCAAGTTCATAGCTCTATGAAAATAAGCTATTTCTGTTTTTCTCTATAAAAAAATATAAACTTTAATTTTACTTTCATTTTACTTTCATTTTAGCAGCATTTGTAAATTCAAACACTAGGGGTCTGATCTTCTTTGATGGGCTGTAATTCTGCAGGTGCTATTTTACACCTACAGGTCAGTGTAGTACAGCTGATGGAAGTTTGGTATCTGCTGCACGTACAACCTGATGCTGAAACGCTGAATGTCAGCAGTCAAAACATTCTGTTGAAAGGGAAGTCAAATGGCTGGGCTGCTTTTTAACTCCTCCTTGCAATAGTTTCATTTTAAAACATCAATTTTATTTCTTTTAACATCAGGGCAGGAAATGTTTTCACTTCGATGTGCCCTGTATTTTAGTACGCTGAACTGTATTTATCTCTGACATTACCCTGGTTGTAATTCCCACCAAAGTTAATGAAGCTATAGATGATTTTGACACACTCTGTACACAATATATGAATGAACTTTTTTTGGCAGCAGTATCTTTTATTATTACTTAAACACTGCATGTCTTTTTTTTGGGGGGGGAGGGAAAAAACCAAGGTGTGAGTGGTATTTAACACCATATTCTTATATTCTAGCCCCTTAGCCTTTTTATTAAGTAAACTGTAGAAATATTTCTAATTCAGTCTTTGAATTACAGAATCAAATACAAAAAACTTCTCAATTTAGACTCCTAATTCCAGATAACTTTCTTGCTCTGTTCATTAAGCATGACCAATTTTGAGAAAAATCCTTTTTGTAGCTGCGAAGCACCCTCAAGTGTCTATTTACAATGGTTAAAAATGATAAATAAATCTTCAATTAAAAAATAATTTTGATCTTTGAGGGGCATTTCAGCATTTTGTTTCTTCTGGAAATAATATAATATTCTAAAACTAAGGGCAGAGTTAGTGGGGTGGAGAATATTTTACAAAGAAACTAATAAGCATTTTGGCTTTGCATGTTTTTGAATTATATTTCCAATTAAAAATGCAGAGTGCTAAATCACATTACAAAGACAAATAGGAAAGTACAACTTCATTGTTGAAAACAATTTCCCTCCTATCAATCTGAGGATTCATGCATCAATATTGTAGATGAACTGTTAATTACAAAATCAATTAAAAAATTATTTCTAAAAACAGTCACGCGTCCTGGCTCTCAGGGGGGCAATTTGGGCAGAAGGTCTCATCTCACTAGGACCGCGCCAAATCACAAGTCGTCATCCACAAGTAAGCAAAAGCAATCTGGTTTTTCATTTTTCAGCGCGGCTGAGCCCAGCCTGAGATTGATCGTCACATATGGCCCCAGAAAACAAACTGTCAATACCTTGAATGCTGCAGAATTTGAACAAATAGCCGTCCGCCCATTCAAGCCACTCATTGCATCCCATTTAACAGATTTTATTGACAGTTTCCTTCTTGTAATTAAAGGGAAAACTACTGGCCAGCAACCAAGATAAAGTTCAAAGATAGGGTCAAAACAAAAGCAGATGGAGGGGCACGGTGTGACTGTCAATGGAACATAGCATCAGAGCATGTTATTGACACACAGGTATCTAATGATCGGCACGTCATTAAAGAGGGATCTATCGTGAACTTTATGCAAATGCTAAAAGGGACTTAAGACCACAATAAAGCATGAGGGAGACACAAAAGGAAAAACAACAAAGCACAAACGATTTTTACTTATCTGACAGTATTCACTGCTTCAGCACTTTTAAAATCAAATGCAGAAAAAAAAATTCTTTCTGAGATTTTTAACTCTTGCTGCCCACACAGGTAATAATTTTTGCAGAAGCATCCTCATAAAGGCAGAGGATCCGTAAGGTAAGGTGTGGTCCTCGCAAGAATAAGTAAGAATTTCCTCCCTCCTCCCACTTCCTGAATTCACCCTATCAAATAAATCAGTAGCTGCCTTTAAAGGGAACATATATAGCGTATTCTCATGCATGCTTTCAGTTCATTTTAATTGCAATGATTAGATTTGCCTGGATTGTGGAATGGATTGAGGAGAACAACATCTATATTCATGTGAAAGGATCTTTGCCTGTAAAATACTCTTCAAATCATACAGTGCAGGATTTTTCACTCCCTTAGGAACTTATTCTACAATTACTTAGAACAGAAAGCCCTCCTTAGTCTGAACTGCTTGTTGCCTTTTAGGCTAAGGTCTGATTAGCAAATTCTTAATATGAAAACTGTGTTTAAAACAAGCATGCAGAAAGTATTATGGAGAAAAAAAAAGTGACATATTAAAAATGTAGCAACCGTCATGCCACTCTGCCAACCTGAATTAGCAAGTGCTATAGCTTTGAGGGTGACAAACTCTTCTTTCTCCAGCTTCATGCTCTTGTATTTCTTTACCAGCTGCAGTATGGCATTGTTAAGGTCAAGAAGGCCTGCCAATTTGGATTGGTCTTCATCCATAATATAATCTTCAGCATATACGAGCTCATCCTCGAAAGAAAGTGACCGGTATACAACCCCGAGAATCAAAATCTCCATCCAAGCGCTCTGCAGAAGGCTCATCTGGTCAGCTAGAGACAAAGTGGAGAATCCTGAACAGGCAAAAAAAACAGGAAAAATATTAAGCATGGTTGGATTTGTTAGAAATCTGCTCCTCTTTTTCATTTATTTTTATATACATTGTGATAACTCATGTATGTACTGTATTATTCTCCCTCCTGCTTTTGTGCCTCTCCTCTCTCTCCTACTACAGGAAAGTAAATCAATATAAAATCAAACATTTTCTAATCAACATACGAAGTTATGAACAAGTTGGAATTTGCAGGCTCCTTCTGTAAGAATCATAATAATTTGGGGAGTACTGCAGTGATAGTTTGCAATTTGCATGATGTCTTCTTTGTTCTGAAATACTCATGCTTCGTCCTAAAACCTGATGCTGTGAAACAGCGATCTGATGACTCTGTTCATTACTACCATAAACCAAGAAGGGTAATTTAGGGCAGGAAAAAAAAGCCCCACCTTTTTAAAAGGGAAGATTTGATGTTTTAATAGAATTAAGGTGTGTATCACAAAGAGGAACGTTGTCTTCGAATTTTATTTCTGTTTGAATGGCCCCCCGCCTCTACCACACTTGTTGAAGTAACAGGATGGCATATTAAAGTGCCAGCTGAACAGCAGTCACACCATCCTTTTTCTGAGGGCAACTGAAAATTTAATAAATGCCTCTTAATGAATTTAACTTTTGCCTTTTTTTTTTTTCTCCTGCTGTCTTTCCTAATAGGATCAACTAAGGGCAAACATCTTTCCTGTCTTACCTTTTCAGACTCTTGTTTTCAGTACCTGTTAATTTATTATATCAAACTGCTGTTATCCCAATCACATTAGGGGCTAAAAAACAATACGGGAGAGGAAGTGATTTTCCTGGCCTGTTGGTGAAATGCAGTAGTTTGCCAGTTGGCACCATTAACCACAAGTACTTAATAAAATCATCAAAGGGGATTAGTCAAGCTTTTCTTAAAGGGTCTTAAGACATGTCTGAGGCTTTCATTTAGTTGTTTATGGAGCTGCTTACATGTCCTTTGACAGGGTTCCCGCTGCAAGAACATTCTTTTTGGCGTTCAATTACACTTAAATGCATTTTTCTGTTTTGAAAGTCGAGAGTTACAGTCAAGCAGGAATATATCATAAACCAGCAAATCTGCAAGGCGTCTACTCCAAACAAGATTTTCTCTATAAACACTGAGCAGCAAAACTAATACAATAAAAAAAGAAAACCCCACATCCAAACCACCAGGCATCCATAAAAAATGAAACATAAAACTGGCTGCATGCTCTCTCTCTCATTTCCCCCCTCCTCCTTATTTGTTTTCATTTTCTCTTAGTGTCTTTCGAGTCTTGTGATAGAATTGTAGCTCTTTGCCACCAAAAAAACCCAACACAAACTGAGCCAACAACAGCAGGAAACCCCCGAAGAGGTGACAATGGAAAATAACACATCTGCGAATAAAATAAATAAGAGGGAAATGGAGAAGAAATAATCATTTGAAAGGTTATAGGGACGAATTCATGATTTCAATTAGCTTCAACATTTCTGTTCCTTCCTGTCTTTCAAGAACCAGTTTTTCTGCAGTAGCAGATGGACAGAGAATGTAGCCTGCAGCACCGTCCTGTGACAGCCCCATTCTCCCTCCCAGACACTGCTGTTAGTAAATAGATTTACACATTCTCCAATCTCCACACATCTTTCTGCCGAATAATTAAAAGCAGGATGATTAGTTTATTGAGTGGAAGGAGGAACTTTTTTATTGAGGTCCATCCACGATTTTATCAGGGCCAGCACTTTTACGGTTGTCATGAGGGTGCAGGCATCCAATTTTTCTTATCTGCCTGATTAATACAAACGCTGTTTCAGGACGCATTAATTAACAGATACAAATCTACGTTCTCATGGAAGGATCAATACAGAGAAGAAAAGAGGCATCAATGTGAATTTAGTGCTGATGATGGAGAAGGCACTCTATTGACATTTACGTGCATAGAAACTTTAAAGTTGCAGTGGAGCCCTTTTGTCCCTGTGATTTACAAATTAACAATTTTTCAGGTATAACAATGTTTCACACACTTTTTAGAAGTTTAATTAAGCAAAAAGCAATAAAATTAGTTTTGATTAAAGAAAGTTTAACCTGCAATTTCTCTCTATTCTCTTTTTTTTCTGAAAACTCCCAACTTCCTTCTTTTATTTACTTATGTATTTTAGTACAGGTTTGTTGGGGTTTTTTTAAATAAATAATGCTGTGTTTCCATAACATTTATTGCGTGCCACAGTCAAAGGAAATTACATATGCCCTGTGAGGGGGAAAAATGGGATGCTGCCTATAATTTATTGTACTTCACTCTCGAAAAATCTGCATTCTGGTGCAGTAAATATACTAATTGTTTTTATATGACACATAAAAAATGAAAAGAAATTTTTACACTGTAGAAAAACTGGGAAATATAAACCACACTGTTCTGCTCTCCAATAATAAATCACATAAACATAATTATTTTCTTCATGATCGAAGTAACTTTCCCTTGAAAACCTGCTCAGTGAAAGCATGTTTTAACTTTTAAAGGCATCCCTCTTGGGGATGTAAAGCTGCATCAAGTTGTAATTAATGTGGTTTTGTTTCATTTTGATTTTGCAGAAAATGTGAAAGCATCCAGCATGTCTTTTGTATCACATCAATGCCCTTTTAATAGCTGTTCAGCACGTCACAGTTAAAAGAATAGATTACACAGGCATATCTATTTACATACAGAGATTTATTTTTAATTGTCTGGAGGAGCTTACACTTATTTCACGCCAAACTGTGCACTGGTTCTCTGACCTTTTGTTATACGAATCCCTTAAATCAGCCACGTTCTGTGACAAGTGGACATGCTCTATTATAAAATGTAACTATTTAAAAAAAGTCTCCAGATCAGACATAAATACACTTCCAGCTTTCTGGACCAGTGATAGCCTTCCCAGTCACAACGCAAACCGCCCTGAGGTGCTGCATGACAGTGTGGGTTGAACTTTGTTGTGCATTGTGGGGCTCCTTCATCCTTAAGACTCTTGCAGGTCATCGTTTTAAATGTAGAACTGCATAATGGCTTTTTAAAATACAATGCTGTGTACCTTTTTCCCCCTTAGCGTGTACCACACTGGTGACAACTTTGATCTCTTTCCATCTCCCTCCCTAAGTCAATGCCATTTAATGTATCCCAGGCATTTGCTAGCAGAATGACTCTGTACCTTGACCTGCAGTTAAATAGCATGTTTATCTGCGATACAGCGCACTCCAAATAAACCGGCTGACAGTTTGCAATAACGTCATTTGGAAGGATTGAAAGGCTTCTCAAGAGTCAGGTACCCCTGAGGTAAGAAGCTTGAAGGAAGCATGTTTTGTGCCAACCCTCCTGCCATCTTCTACTAGACGCTCGTGTGCTTGACAATGATGCCATGGGCACTTGTCAAGATTTTTTTTTTCTTTTTGCCTAGCAAACTGATGCACTTTGCAGTCAACTTACAAAAAAGGCTAAGCATTTGAAAGTGTGAAGGGCAAAAAATATCTGACGGCTAGTCTTCAAAAATACACTTTCATTTCAGAAAGCATAAATGTTTATTTCCTGAGCTGAGTGTTGACAGAAATAGGCTGCAGCGCAGGCATATGAATTTAACCCCTGGTAGGCATTCTTTTCAGTGCATTTTTATGTGGCTGAATGCAAGCACTGTAAATCTACAGGGTGTCTCTTAATATCGGTTAACAATAGCATTGATTTGCCGGCTGCAGATTTTCTTCCTTCCTTTTTTTCTTTCTTTCTTTCTCCTCCTTTCAGGGACCGTAGTGTTTCTTCAGCTAAAAATAGATACTTTTCTACAAACAGCGTCTCACACTCAAATTGTAATTATGCCGTAATGACTCACTGAGATCACTGAGTGTGGATTGAGAAAAGGCTGATTGAGCAACCAAACATATGCTTGGTGTTTTTATCTTTTGCATACCAGTAAACCCAAAGCTCAAAGCAGGCAGAAATAAATGGGTAAAAAAGCCTTAGTATTTTTATTACAGGAACAACCAGCAGAGAGCTGACCACGCTCTGCAGCACTCAGCACTCCAAGCCAGCTCCAAACACAGTTCACAGTCTCTTAGACGGGGCTGTTTAAGCCACAGATCTTTTCAAATAACAGCACATGCATCACTTGCTCTCTATTTCACATTGCACACAGCTCCATGCTAAGCAGGGTAAATCTTTTATATTCCTGAAGACCCTTTCCTCTACTTCATTAAGATGGACTTCATGGACACTAACTCACTAGGGGCTAGAGTGAAGCAGCTGCAGATGGTCAAGTGACAAAGTAAGATCTGTGCCTTGTACACAGCACTCCGAGAACTACTGGACAAAAAAAAAAGACAGTGGCTGGACTTATCCCCACCATTATTTTCAGCCTTAAACATTTGATGTGATGCCTAAATCAGGCTACTCAGACTCGAATCCTAGCTTATTGCACTTTGCAGGGAATGAACTTCGCTTCCTCTGCGTTACATGTTTAGAAATCTGAATATTTGATCAAACCAGGTATTAAATTGCTGGCAAATCTGAGAGTTGCTTGCTTTTTCTGATAATCGCCTCCAATTTACTTTACCAGTTGTTTCTGTGATTGTTAGCTTTGTAAGTAAAATATTCCACTTGCTTGCCCCGGTTTGTACTTCAAATATCTTCATTTACATTTTTTATAATCAAAGCTGTGCTTGAAAATGACATGTTCACTAGTGTGTTACAGACTCAATATATTTACACAGTTGAAATATCAGAGTTAGGTTTTATAAATATCTACACTTAATTTTGATAAATTAACTTCCTTCTAAATGTTTTATGGGTACTGATGTTTTCAGCACAATTTCCTTCTTTCAAAAAAGATGTATAGTCACCACTGTCAAAAGAACAAACTGACACTGTAAACGTTTTTTAAAAAAACTTTTCTTTTGGCCCAGATTGCTTTATATAGAGAGTGCATGGCCTCATGCTCAAATAACAAACAGTGGGCCAAAGGCTTATCCCAGCT